TCGATATTGTCACCAGCATATTTCTCCGTATTGCTATGTATCATTGTGATATAACCTGGATCACCCCCGAACCTCCGGAAATCCAGCATAAACCTGAACACGGACATCAACAACAAAACAAGCACCGGCATCATCAACAGGAATCACGAGAACTGCAGAAGCAGCAGCGCGGCCCCGCAGACACGAGCCCGCACAGCCATACCGGTAATACTACGCCCCAGCAGAAGCAACAGCAACAACACCACGATCACCTCAGCTTCGTGCACCTCCTCCAGTCCCCATTCGCCAGGGACTTCTTTCTGGCATCGCATCAGCATCGTCGTCACCACGGCGTCGGCAACGAGCACCACCACACAGGCGCAGACGCTAGCAGCCAGCTGAGGTCGATTTCGCCTCCAGGGGCCCTCGCATCATATCATCGAACTTTGTTATCGCCTTCGCCAACCGCATCGTCGGTATCACAATCTTGTCGTCGGCTGCACTAACAGCGCCACGCCGACACGACCCTGCGCACCACCAGTTTGGGAAGTAGACCCGTATCAGGGCGCTCAACTTGGCCAAAGGTCCCCCCAAAACCACCTACACGAAAGAACTCAGGAGATAGCGCCATCATATCCGTGGGCTACCTTACATACACGGTACACCAACAACACCACCACCACCAGCAAAAGGGCAGAGCAAGCAAGGCCTAGCCCCAACGTGGACCAACTGGACCTCTCATCGGAGCGCGTGGGCTGCATGTTACTAGGGATTAGTTGCATGCTCCATTGCTGTGCCCTTCTTGTACCGGCTGGATAGCGCAACATCGAACCGGTTTATTGCACCACCGGCAGCGAACCGCATCCACAGTCGACCCCTCTGCCAACTCCGACCTGCCATTTGAGTGGGCAAAACCACTGCGGGCAGCGCCTACACGCATTGAAAGACGACAGCGCGCTTGTCAGTTGTCTTCGTATTGCCATCCACCTCCCATCCGGGCTGGACCGGGTCTATTAATTGGACCAGGGGTCGTCGAGAGTGCTCCCTCCACACACCATCTCCCAGACATCCATATCCCCGTCCGTCCCGTCTTACGCTATCGGCCGCCAATATTAGGTAGTTGGCATCCCCTCATCGTCACCATCACCACCACCGGCCACCACCGTTCAGTGAGATTTCAGACCCTATCTACCACATTCTGGTACCGACTTGTCTGAGTCTAGGTCTCCCTCCCCAAATTGCATACCTACACAAAACTCTCACACCTCCCCTCCCGTCCATCCCCTCTGCCGTCACGGACAACGGAAACGCACGCCATCACACGAGAGCTAGCCAAAGTTTTAGTCTCTTTGGGCTTTGACTCCTGCGACGGCAGACCTGAACCGCTCCATCAAAAGCATCACTTGGTCCCAAAAAAGCTTCCAGACCACCTCCCGGCTGTCGGCCGGCGCGCTCACCATTCCCTTTTCCGCACCCTGCTTGCGCATCTCTTCTCCTGACTACCGGGCGCCTTACCCAGTTCTGTCGGTTTTGCAACAACGGGTTCGCCGTTTGTTGGTATTTATTAGCAGTGGGACACCACCACCGCACCTGAGTCTTGGCCCGTCGACACCATACGGCGTTACGCACCGCAGCAAGCACACACAGAAACCCACGTTGAAGTCCAGCCCCGAGGGCCCCAAAACATCCCGGTCCCTTTGCATTGTGTGGTGTGTTAAACGCCCTGTGGCTTTTTCTGCTGGTTCTATTTAGCGCCACTTCGAACGGGGGGTGATTTCCACGAGGGACGTCCAAGCTTTGATTATTGGTACAGCACCGCGATAATCAACGTGCTGGCTGGCTGGTTCCTGTGCCTGGCCTGTCTCTCATTCTCATCTCGCCCAGTTTCTGACAAGTCTCTGGTTCCCTTCCATCGCGCATTACCTTATCTCGTCAACTCTCCGCTTATTCCCTTCCGGGCGACATCCCACCGTCACCTAACTATTAATAAAAACAAGAACCGGAAAACCTGCCACGCCCGACAGGACCACCTACCATTTGCCGGGGGGCTTTCAGTTGAGGAACCACGGAACCCAGTTGAGGAGCTTCTTACACACTGGACCTGGCTTACACTTTTAATACCGGTACCGACCGACCAACCGGCCCTTATCCAGCTGCATCGGACGTGCACACCGCAAACTGCAAAAGAGGCACGACGCACACCTTAGCTACATATTACTTGATCGCCTCTTCTTCCCCGGACCGGGACAAGAGCTCTCACCTCCTCACCTCCTCAATCTCTGACCAAACATCTGCTCGCCAGCGGGCACGCCCTGATCAGTCGCTGCATCCCTTCTCCTCTTTTTCACATTTATTACCGACATCTGAGGGGAACCTCTGCTGCGCGACCCCCGCCAAACCCACGCAAAAAGTCGGACCAGTTGGACAAGGCCCAACGCCCGCGCCCCTGTCCGCATCTCCTTCTCTTGCACGCCAACGGGGGTTCATTTGAAAGGAGACAAAGGACGACGGCTCCACCTGTGATCGACGCCATCGACAGGGCGGGAGAGCTAGCGAACGTACTCGGTATTAGTACTCGACGCACGCTGCCATTCTGCTCCTCCTCGAACCATCGGACCAAGCCAGACCACGAGTCAATTGCCCTCCGTCTTCTTTCCCCCCTCTCGCACTCCCATCCCAGCCATTCACCGTCGAGGCCCTTTCCTGCGCTCTTATCAGCCGCTCGACGCCTCTTTTACCGTTGTTGGAGAACAAACAAACAAAACAAACTTCACCACCACCACCACCGCCGACGACAACTCGCATATATATCCAGCTATCTGAGAACCATTGCGGTGACCGATCTGCCACCCTGCCGAACAGCATCACATTGACGACATCGTCTCGCTACCCCCTCGTCATTACACGACCACATCTCGCCAGTGCACGCTGCACACACTTGCCGACGACACTCCGAACTCTGTCTTCGTCTACCTACCTACACAACCATCAGCCCATAGCTAAACCATTTCAATTACTTTTTATTTCTCTCCCACATTGGTTTCCGATGGGCTCATCAATAGCCCAAAGACATCTCACCTGCACATTACAACTATCACATCCATTAACAACACCATCAAAAATGGCCGCCCAAAGCACCCTCCCCCTCTCACAGGAGCAAACCTCCAACTTTGCCCTGCAACAATATCTCCTCCTGCACTCCCAACACGAGGAACTCCGCCAACACCTCGACCAGATCAGGCCCATCACCACCACCTGCAGCACCTCCCTCGCCTCCTCACCCTCCGTGTCCCCCACCCGCAGCACCTGCTCGCCCTTCGGACAGTACCCCACCGGCGGTCGCAGACACCACAGCCGCAGCCGGCGCTCGTCGCTCTCCTCCCCCAAGACGCGCCGCAGCAGCTCCCTCGCTCCGATCGCGGACGAGACGACGATCTGGGCGGTCGCCGAGGAGGAGCAGCGTCTGTTCGACGTCAACGAGGGCATGAAGCGGGCCCTGATGGAGCTGCTCAACTGCGAGCAGGTGCGGAGCGACAGCTCGTTCCGCATGTGGGTTCAGTGCCGTCTCATGGACACGGAAAAGGAGCTGCGCTCTGAGCGACGACGTAAGAGCTCTCCGTGAGCTCTTTTCGCTCTTCTCTGATCGGCACATGTCGACCACCAACTATTACAGCTAATTTGCCGGGCTTGGGATATTCTTCTTTTCGGCAATTTGGGACCTGGGACAGAATAAGGTACGATCTACCTTTGGGAAATGGCGTTGAAAGGCGGCGGGAATTTCTACAGACCTGCCGAGACAGGCGTGGCAGTGGCATGGCATGGCATGCACCACGGGATAACAAAAGTTGGATGCATACGGGCGAATAGCATTTGCTTCATCATTTTTTCAAGCATTCGCCCGAGGGAAATCTTTTTTTCAAATGTTCATACACAACGGCGAGGACTTGATCAGCACAGCTTGACATCCTTCCCTTTTCTTTTCTTCTGCGTATCTTTATTTGGCGGTTGTAGGATACCAAACAGACATAGAGCTTGTAATGACCGACACGACACCAAATTTACATACCAACCACCTATTACTCCCTTACCTTACACGTCTTTGCTTCTGTGATGTCCAAAGTCCGAAAACATTGCTTCTTTGTGTGATAAACATGTGGATGTGGTTCGAGCATGACGGGAGATCTTCGCGATGCATGCGGGCATAGTTCGGAGCTTGCTGCTTACTTGCTGCTTACTTGCTGCAGCCTGCAACTCTCCAAAGTCTGTGTGTGCGTACCGTTGCCACCCCCAGTTTCTCAGAAATCAATCACAGACAGCCCATGTTTTCTGCCCAGGACCAAAAAAAGCAAATCAAAAGTCCAAAATTTGGCGAAATGCGATGTGCCAGACTAGGAGTCTTCGGCCGGGTCCAATCGGTCAAGCTCCAAGCTCCGAAATTCAAATAAATGGAGCCCCCTTTTTTTTATTTTTATGTTTTCTTGGTGTGTGATTCGATTCGCCGATCACGCAACTTTGATGCACAGTACACAAAAGCCGTGTGCATGGCACAAGCGGCACTATGTGACGAGACACTGTCTCGCAGCTCGACCTTTCGTGGGCCCGTTGCCTCGTGGATTTGGCCGTCGTTGTTTGCTTCGCTTCCCACCTTGACTGCAAACAATCGACGACACACGATACCACGCACGCACGCCCCCGCGCCCGAAACGCCACTTGCGCTCTGCTTACGTAGCTGCAGCCAGATCGGCGAAAGCTTCGAAGCTTGGAATCTCGTGTTTTTCGACAAAGCGGAACTTTTGAGCTGGTCGGGGTCTCTGTTGATCAGATCGCGGCGCAAAGAGGAAAAAGGTTTCGGGAAGCTCCGTCCACCACAACGACGACTTCGACGACGACGACAGCAAGGCAACCGGCAACGGCCGTCATCGCGACGATAGCACTGATAACGAAGAGGACAAAAGTGACGAGAGACACGCTTGCGACGTCAGCCTAGCATTCTGAATCAGCGCACCAAACCGACCGCCGCCATGTCGGTCCTCTTGGAGACGAGCTCCGGTGACATTGTCATTGACCTGCTGGTTGACTACGCGCCGAAGCTGTGCGAAAAGTAAGTTGACACCACAGCTATTCCCCTTGAATGCCACTACCAAGCTCTTGCTCAGCTAACCACAAAGCGCGACAGTTTCCTGAAGCTCTGCAAAGTCAAGTACTACAACTTCTCGCCGATCCACTCGGTCCAGAAGAACTTCTCCTTCCAAACCGGCGACCCCCTCGGCCCGCTGTCGAAGGAGTCCGATGGCGGCACCTCGATATGGGGCCTGCTGTCGGGCGACAGCAAGAAGAAGATGTTCCCCGCCTTCTTCCACCCGAAGCTCAAGCACCTCGAGCGCGGCACCGTGAGCATGGCCACCGCGCCCCTCGACTCGGACCCGGACACGCGCGTCGCTGCGTCGCAGTTCATCGTCACGCTGGGCGACGAGACGGACTACCTGGACGGCAAGGCTGCCGTCTTTGGCAAGGTCGTCGAGGGCTTCGACGTGCTGGAGAAGATCAACGAGGCCATCGTGGACGACAAGGGACACCCGCTCATCGACATCCGCATCAAGCACACCATCGTTCTCGACGACCCCTACCCCGACCCACCGGAGCTGCGGGAGCCCAGCGGCTCGCCGCCACCGAGCAAGGCACAGCTCGAGACTGTGCGCATCGCGGACGAGGCTGCCCTGCACGAGGACGACGACATGGACGAGGAGGCCGTTGAAAAACGGCGGAGGGAGAGGGAGGCACGGGCTCAGGCGCTCACTCTGGAAATGATGGGTGATTTGCCGTTTGCCGAGGTCGCCCCTCCCGAGAACGTCCTGTTCGTTTGCAAGCTGAACCCGGTCACCACGGATGCCGATCTGGAGCTCATCTTTGGTCGGTTTGGCAAGATCCTCAGCTGCGAGGTCATCCGCGATGCCAAGACGGGCGACAGTCTCCAGTACGCCTTCATCGAGTATGCCGACAAGGCCTCCTGCGAAGCTGCGTACTTCAAGATGCAGGACGTGCTGATCGATGACCGCCGCATCCACGTGGACTTCTCACAGAGTGTGAGCAAGCTGAGCCAGGTCTGGAGAGACGACACGAACAGCAAGCGCAAGAAGAACGCCTCCAGGGGCGGATGGGGAGGCGTCGACGAGCTCGAGAAGCGCAGGCAATACCGCGACGTGTACGAGAGGGACGGTGACAACTACGATCTCGTGTATGGAGATGAGGAGATGAAGGGCCGCGCCGAGCGTGACAGCAACCGCCGGCCTGAGCCCAAGGGACAACAGGAGCAGGGCAGAGATCACGCCAGGTCGGACAGGGAACGCAGGAGAAGTCGGAGCCCCGGACGACCCAGAGACAGGGACAGGGACAGGAGGGGAGATAGAGATCGATACCGATCCGACGATCGGAACGCCGGACGACGGTACGATGACCACGACCGGCGACGCGACGATCGGGACTCGGGTCGTAGAGACCACAGAGACCGCAGAGATTATGATAACCGGAATCGAGGCAGGGATCGAGGCGGAGACAGACGAAGATAGCAGCACTGCGGACATGGTTCTGGCATCCTTCCCTTCTTTTTCGTCCACGACAACAACAAAATCACACCAGCAGAGCAGAGCAGAATACCCAGTCGCCGTTGTCCAGCTCACAGCCAGCACGGTCGACCACCAGATGTAGACACCCCTCAAAAAAGAGTACTTGAATTGACGCCGCCTTTGCCACTGCCGCCCGCGTAAGGCTCGTGTTTCATGAAAAATCTCGTTGACCTGTCGAGATGCGGCCACGGCAACCTGCACGCAAGCATCTCGTTACATCTCTTGTTGGCCAGGAGTCCGGATGTGTGGGGGATGGGGGTTTTGGAGTTGGGGATAGAGAGGAAATCATCACCATCAGGACCGCGGGGCGTTTTTCTCTCACGTCGCACATGGCGAATGACCTGCTCGAAGCAGGACAGGTAATGTCTCAGTATTTCGCCGTTGCAAACTAACAAACATATCTCCCCGGGGGGCGCCCATTTCGACTTGCATGAGCTGCAAGTAAGCGGCTCGGAAGTCAACCGCGGAAGTGGGGATCGGTGCACATCAGAGTGGCCCGCGGAGGGAAGCTACATTAGCCCGCCTGCCGTTTGGTGGTATGTGGTAGCTGTCATCTGTCAGTTGTCATATCTTCAAGGTGCTTCTTGTGTGTTCCCCTTGGCGGCATCTAGACGGACGATGGGCCACGGACAGCCCATCTCTGGAACTCGCATGCAGGGCCGGGCATGCGTGTAACAACGGCTTCGACCTGTCAGAAGAGTCTCCGAATGCCTCGTAGTTCAGCTGGCCACATGGAGGGGGGGCATTTCGGGAGTTCCTATGACCAGGTTGGTTCGGGACAGGATGGTTGATATCTTAAGCTCGAGGGCCTTCGTCACTTACATCCGACAACGACTGATCCTTTTATCGTGGAGGGAATCTATCTTTAATGCCGACTGCAACCCCGTGGCAAAGACGGCAAGTGGCCAGCATGGCGGTCTCTCGAGTAGGTCTCGCGGCGTTCCCATCCCCACCAAGGCAGCCCGTAACAACCAGTTGCTAATGTTGCACAGGATGATGGAAGTGACAGCATGTCGAGTCTCTCTGCAGAACACCTGCAATTCTTCCCAGGCCGGCAGGCAGGCAGGCATCGACGAGCCTGTGTAACGGGAGCTTTCCTCAGCAAGAGACATGAGGCAAAGCTCGTCAGCTGTGTTACTTTCCGGTCTTCACTTGTCGGGCGATGATAAGCTCCAGCCAGGCGGAGAAGGCCGATCGATTTCCTTTCCAGTCTGGCGGTCTGGCGGACGAAAGCACAAAGTGATGTGTTCGTTGGCAGCATTGGCAGCATATCAGGCCAAGCATACTTATGGGCACACGTGCAAAGGCCTGGATCCTGGGCCGTACCTTATGCTCCATATCGCCCAACGGATAGTGGAGGCAGCCGGATCGGCTCGTACTCTGCGCCTCTTTGGTGCCTGGCCTGGTGGCTTTTTCCTTTTGCTTCCTCCCACGCTGAACCGGCCTTATTTCCATCTGCCCCGGGCATGGCCGCTCTCGTCATGGGTTGTCAGATGACATTGTGTTCCTGGGAGCAGGCCCAATCGCTTACGGGACTTGTGCGCCGTTGCAACGGATACCTGCATGAAGAGACCGGGGCCGGCTCTGGCTGCGATTGACACCCCATGCAGCACCCCGAGGATGGCTGGCAAAATTTTCCGTTGACAGAGCCGGCCGTCGAAGCCATGTGGGTTACTGCCAGTTGCCTTCCCGTCATGAAAGCCAGGCACGACGCAAGGAAATATCCGGGCATGGGGGGTCAAGCAGAGGGGAAAAGGGAGGGGGAGCAAGGCGAAATTGATCTGCATTTGCAACAGCCTGATCGTCGTCAGGACGCTCTCACCTCGCTGGGCCACCATTGTGCATGATATCAGTCCTGACGCTGTACCACACCGCCAGCAGACTCCTCAGTCGACTTTCGATACGAACTGCCCTCCACGAGCCACATTCATCAGGAGAGCGTCTTGCTTCGGTGTGTCTTGGGAATGCGGCGCAGACTCTTATGAGGACCGGGTTTATCAATAAGACCTACTGGTTCAAAATATAATGATGGAAGCGAGGCGAGGACGCTGTCTCATCTGTCGCGCGCACTACTGGGGCAATCTGGCAATAAGCTCATGTGGAGCCACGAGTCTCGGTCAAGAAAGGGCCTACAACCTCGCCCTCGTCCTTGCACTCCGTTGGACGACGATGGACCATCTCGGGCACCTGTGCTGCGACGGCTCCAGCCTGGCCTTGTCGCTCACCAGCTCGATGATATGGCGGAGAAGCTTCTACACGGACCGCACGTAGCACCCCTGAGCAACGCGCGCTGTCATTACGGACGTTAGGGTTTCCCCTGAGGATGAACATGGTCCGTCGGCTTCGAGCATGGACATGCCATCTCAAGTCTTCTCCTGGTTCTTCAGCCTGGCAGAAGGAAGTGAATCCTTTGCGACGCCACTGTGGAAAGGCTCAATTCACTTAAAGCTCCTGCAGGACCATTTGTCTACCCCTGATTCAAATGCATGAGATATCGGACGAGGTAGCATTGCATCCTCCTCCCTCCCTCCGCCATCACCATGGCCGCCGTTCTTCCACGCCGAGATACTGACCGCCCTGGGGGTGGGGTCCCTCCTTCGCGGACGCAGCAGCAGCAGCAGGCGGCAGATGCATACACACACACACACTGTGGAAAAGAAGCCTTGCAAAAGCTGTCAACGGATGTACGTGGACCTAGCCGCGCCTCAACGGCAACGCAGAAGCGGGAGCCACCCACACACACCTTTTTTCCTACGTGCCTCAGCCGCCCGCCCGCTGCCCGTTTGCTGCTATTCTTGGTCCCTGCCGTTGCTCAACCCCCGCGCCCGCGCGTGTCGTGTGTGCATCGAGCTGCTCCCGCCCCAGGGTTCTCGTTGCGTTGCTTTGTTCGTTTGTCCCAAGGCTGCGCGCTACAACAGTCCGGAAGTCCAACGTCCGTGGAGGCCCAACGGTTGCGCCAAGTTGGATCATCAGAGTGCAGGGCCTGAATTTGGAGTTGCAGCAACGACATCAATGGGGGCATACAGAGGGTGAGAGGGGGGCGAGGCGGCAGCCAAAAGACGCTGCACTACCACAACCACAGCCTGCTTCGAGAATGACGGTGCGACGGAGATGGACCTGTTTGGCAGCTTTCCCCTGGGGCCAAGTGGCCGTGTCCGCGGCCTCTGATGAGGTGAGGGTTAAGCGGCCCTCGCGGCGGCCACATTCATGCAGTCCAATCGCCTAACGACAAACATCAGGTCCATACTAGCCTGGCCATTCTAAATGTGACTGGACTTTGGTTTGTGCTCATGGTCTTGTCCGGTTGTAAGATTGATTTCCTCACATATTTCTGCCAGCTGTTGCAAGTTTGTCTGAAGGGATTCCTCGCGGAAGCTGCCGGCTGGCAGAGCTATTGAGGAGGTGCATTTCCCGGATTAGTCGATGCCAATGCAGATGACGACCGTTCCAGCATGGTACTTTCTCGACGTCAATTTTTTTTTCTGCCAAAATTTGACCGGGCATCTTTTCATCATACATATGTACGTGCGTTGGCGCCGAATGTTTGGCGAACGGCGCGAACGAACGGAGCAAGGAAAAAGCAAAAATATCTGCACATCATCCAACCCACCCAAGCAGCAACAGGTGGATGTTCACTTTCTTCAGCAATTGGTTGGCGGTGTCACTTGAAAGCTGGGTGGCAGGGGCAAAGCAAGCCAGCCAAGCTAACACCTCTTGATGCTCTATGCTTTCCCTCTTGTCTTGCTCTTTCTTTAGAGACAGAGAGAGTGGTCGGTTTGACTTCGCACTCCTCTCGGCTCTTCCTGTCCACAATGCAAGCAAAAGCGAATCTGCCGCTGTTGCTTTCGTAGGGTAACACAGGGACCACCACACAGCGACACCCACCACAAGCGTATTCCATTGACGACGGCTTGCGTCACGTAACCTTCAGCTCTTGCAGCAGCAACAGCAGCGGCTTCTATCTCTGTCCGCTGCGCAGCGGCAGCAGAAGCACCTGGGCTGGCGTGCATCACATCACATCCAGAGTGTCACTTCACTTCGCCTTGCTGCCCGTCCCCTCTCCGCACAGATACATGGCCGCGTTGATGGGGGACGCCGGCTTGCCCTCAGTGACGCATCGTGAGAGGGTTGGACAATCAGAGGTTTGCCCAGGTGGGACCGAGACCGCCGTTTTGCCCGAACAACGTTGGGGGAGACGCGCAAAGTAGTGTTGTTTCTTGTTTGCCTGTCGAAACACACCTTCTCTGGTGTCATTTGGGAAGGGCGCTTTTCCCATTTCAGGTGTTGCTATTTCTCAAAGCAGACATTTGACTGTGTTCCGTCAATTCTGTGATCCTCCTCTGCTGACGATTGTTGAGCCAGTGACATCAAGTGGTTGGGAGGAAGGGGGCAGTAGTTGCAGAAGTAACCAGCAGCAGCCAGGCTGGCTTCATGATACATGTACGCTCTTCTCCTCATTGTGGAAGTCTCCTCTCGAGCCAATACATCTCCAGCTCGCCGTCGGACGACTTGCACCGAGCGTTCGATGTCGCCGTTCGGTTTGTTACTACAACCAAACTCGGCAGTTCTTCAGCGAGCCGTGGACGTGTGGAGGACAATCAAATCATGGGCCTGTCTTTTCCCCCTCTATCCCCTCGTCAGGCCGCTGTCTCGCTCACAGCGGCAAGCTCATTGGATTCGCCCTGACGATGGTGGCGATAAACGACAAAGTCTTTGCCTGCCTGGTCTGTCTCTCCTCCCAAGGGCTCACGAATATCGAGGAGCGTCTCATTGGATGCCGTCCCAAGTCCAAGGACGGCTGAGAAATAACAAGTCTCAAAAAGGTCTTAGACCACTTTCGTCTTGCGCCCAAGTACACATAGCCGCAACGCAAGATTCCTGGGTTCCAGATTGGCCCAGAACCCCCAGACCCTTCAATCCAAGATACGGTACAGATCGCCCGCTGCTGGCCCTACAGCTGCAGATCTACCCCTGATCCCTGCTCGCCTCTCCTCTCCCAATCCTGCCCTGCCGCCCCGGACCTCCCCTCCTCTCCCCTCTCCACCCTTCCCTCCATGTCTTTCCCGTTTGCTCTTGTCTCTTTCTACAGGGCCCCCAGGCAGGGGTCACCCTACGTAAGTCGACGCTGAGAGGTCTGCAATGACGAGGGGGTTAGCGAGAGGCTCACCTTGGCCCTGCGTTCTCCTCATGGACCGACATGCTTGTTTGGCGTCCGTTAACAGCCGCGGCCTTGGGGGGGCGTGTGCGTGGTGGTATTTTCTTCCCCCTTGATGCCTTGCTCAAATCTGCACCTTGCCGGGCTGTGTACCACCTTATCAACGTTTCGCTGTAAGAAGCACACACAAGAAGAAAAGAAAATTCTATTCTACACTACGTCCGTCCGGCTCGTTGTTGTGTGCGCAGCGCAGCGCAGCGTCTACATGGGGCAACACCACCCCCAAATGCCGTACCCAGGCTTGCACCTTGAACCCGTCCAATGACACCTGTCGTGGATTGTTGCTCCTGGTACCCATATGGGGGCGCGCCAGAGGGGGGATACGGGAGACGGGGGGTCACCCAACGACTGTCGAACGAACGAGGTAGAGGGGTGATGGGGGGCAGGGGGGCGAGGGTAAAGTACCGCAGTGACTTGTCGCAATTTCGCAAGGGTCTCTGTCTTGTCATATTCTCTCTCAGCGGAGAGAGAGTATCGAGATAGGGCCATAGATTTGATGTGATGAAGGAGGGTGCGGAGAAAAGATGCAAACACCAGCCAACACTCACTCACTCACCCCCAGCAGTATCAAAAAAAAATACTGAAAGAAGACCGCGCGGGAGAGTCCGTGACCACCCTGGGGATAGGTATAACATCGAACGCGGCTGCAGCTGCTTCTTGATTTCTCCTTCCTGAGTTCCCTCTCTTCCCCCGCTACTTTCCTTGATCTTATTCCCTCCCAAACATATCTACCTTTTGTTTTTTGCTTTACGCTTCCTCCGTGTGAAACATAAGATCAGCAAAAGTTCTTCATCACCTACTGAAGAACCAGAAAAGGCTGACACCGAACCACCGCTTTCTCTCTCTTTAAAACATCCACGTCTGACAAGGAGGCGTGTTGAAGAAACCTCAACATCACCCACCCCCAGAAACTTGTTTCTTCTTCTTCCTTGCCCTCCCCCTCCCCTTCAGGTTCAGGCCTCGACGCAGAAGTGGGAAGCGTGTGTGTGTAAATGTGTGTGTGAACAACATCGAACACCCCCATTTTACTGAAACGAGACGCTTTCACAACATTTCGAGGAGGGGTTGTTGTTCATTCGTCTACTTTTCCTCCGTCATCATCGACGACATACATCCAACACACAGCCCAGTCTTCGACAAGCGGGATTAAGGCAAAAGGCGAACAGCAACACCGCCTCCAGATCCCTCTCGCTTCCTGTAACAGGCCACCTCCTGTCCCTCCTCATCCAACCACGCCCCTCGGTTCTGCCACAGCCGCTTGCTTCCATAGAGCAGGCCTTGCCGAATCTCACCTGCCCCCTCAAAGACACCATGGTCAGCCCGAGTTGCTACTCCGACGGAAGACGATATAGCCGCCTGGAGCCACCTTACGTCTACTCTGACCGCCAGCAACGATACTCGAGCACCTCCGAAGCGCGAACATCGACCATGACTGAACGAGAGCCCGAGACCGACACCCCGCCCCGCAAGCGCATTGCTGTTGCTGTAAGTCTTGGTTCGATTCCTTTGAGCTCTGGAATAGGGGGTTTTCACTTGTCTCTTGCGTCTTGTTGTACTCGACCAAAGTTTCCTCTCCCCTTTCTTTCTCAAAAAGCAAGCATCCCGAAGTTGGGTTTCTTAGCAGCTGGGAGACACAGAAAGAAGGGAGCTTGCATATATCATCGCACCGGATGGGGAAAAAGAAAGATCTGACAGATCTACAGTGCGGCCGGTGCCGGAAGCGCAAGATTCGCTGCAGCGGAGACGCCGGCAACGGAATGCCCTGCCAGAATTGCAAGGCCGCGGGTATCGACGCCTGCCACTTCCTCCGTGTAAGTCCTCTCTTCGCCCGATCACCAAACCCCTCCATCGCAACTAACAACTCCCTTCAAGGTCGCCTCTCAAGAAGCCCCCTGGGTCCAACCTTCAGACCCGAGCTTCTCCTACGAGCTTAAGGCCGCACGAGCGTACCAGGCCGTCGGAGGCCACGCCCTCGCCGCCTCCCCGACGCACTACGCCTCCGAGATGCACGACGGCCTCCCCCGCGCTCCGCAGCATGGCGGCTACCCCACGAGCACCGCGGGATACTCCTCCTATGGCACCACTGGCAAGTACTACTCCTCCATGCCCGCGAGCTGGACGAGCCCGGCCGCGTACCCCGCCGACGACGGCACCGGCGTCGACTACAGCGCCATGGGATATCCGTCCTACCCGTACCACAGCCAGGACGCCTCCTACCTCTACCGCATGACCGCCGCCAAAGCCCCCTCAAACGCGGATCTCTACGTCAACACAGACGGCACGGGCTACGGCTACAGTTCCTCCGGCGCGGCCCTCGTCCACCGCCCCGCCGCAGCAGGAGGCGTCTCCCCGGCCGACGCGCCCAACTTCTCCCTCTCCAACGTCGCCGCCTCCCTCCCTCACACCTCCAGCGGCGGCGACCGTCTGCTCCCGAACCCCTCGCGTCTGCCCACCGCCAACGTCCTCGCCTACCGCCCCGACGGCTCCGCGGCCTCCTCCTACGCGACGTCGACAAAATCCACCGGCAGCGGCTCCTCCAACAACCCTTCCCCGACCAGCGCCGTCTCCGAGGTCACCACGAGCTACGACGCCTCTCCGGTCTCCGCCTATCCGCCCGCGCCGCACACCCTCCCGTCCATGACACACCTCCACCACCACCACCAGCAACAGCACCGTCTCTCCAACGCCACCGCCGCCGACATGGCCGGCTACCCCTCCTCCACAAGCAGCGCCGACTCCATCTTCACCCCGTCCGAGACCTCCCTGCGCACTCACGGCTCCGCCTCCGAGCTGAGCTACAAGTACTCCGACGCCTCCTCCACAGGCTCCTCCGGCCGGCGCGGCAGCGGCGAGACGTCCGCCTCCTCGGGCTCATCCGGCGGCGGCGGCGGCTCGCTTGCCAACGGGCAGACGTACACCGTTCCGACGCCCGGCTCCGCGATGTACGCCACTCCCATGGGCCACTCGCGCCACCACGTCAGCGCCTACGCGCTCCTCTCGGACGACGTCGAGGGGCAGCAGCAGCACCCGCACTATGGACACCGCGAGCACCACCACCAGCATCAGCAGCAGCACCCCTCGGGACGCCGGTCCGCCGGCAGCCTGTCTGCTTCCTGAGAGTCCACCCGCTTCGGCCGGAGCCTGTCTGGGACTCGAGATGGCGTATTTTTGCGCAAATCAGTAAGGCAGGGGAGGGCCCTCCCCCGCCTATGCGCCGCCAACCCGTATATTCTTGCATTGCTCTGTTTGTTGAATCCAGCTATTTTCTGCCTTTTTTGTTTGGTCTTTTTTTGTTCTTTCACCCACACCGACGCCCACCGGCCAGGGATCATCACCATCACCGGCATCAGCGGCTGGTGCATTGCGTCTCCGATAATGGAACCGGTCAAAGCCTATCCGACCCTCCAGTCGAGAATACGGGTTTTCTGTGGCGTTGTTTTGAAAGATGCACTTTTTCTTCCCTCTCTATGCTCAACCAACCCATGTCTACCGAAACGTTACGGTTGTCAGCCATGCATGCAGCTTCCTTCTGCATCCTCGGACTTTAGCAACACTCGCAACTCGGTTGGTTCCAATGCTGTTGGAGAGCAAGAGAGTGGCGGCGCCTCGCTGCACGCCTCGCATCCTGCACCAATTCATCTACAAGAAACGTAACGTTCCGGATGACGACAACGACATACACACCATGTCCTTTGTGGCGTACCTGTCTCTCGTACATTGTCGAGTGGACATCTCCAAGCCAAGAGCGTCGCGAGGGGGGGGGGGGGGGGGGGGGGGGTTACTTACTTCCAACCCAGTGCTCCGGGGCCGGGATGGAACATGCAAGGGGCCCTGGGGGCCGGCGGCCGTTGCGTTTGAGACAAGGGGTTGGCGCCGACGAACTGCGACGCCGTCCAACACACAGCATGCAAGCCGGGCTTACTGCTCCCATGCGGCTACCCGACCCGGCTCGCCCGCGGTCCTTGACAAAAGGGACCCTCGCCCAGTACCGTCCCGTTCCCGCCCTCCATCCCGCGCCTGTTCTGGCCCCAGGCAAGGGACGGCCAACAATGTGCGCCGCGGGGCGGTGTTGTTGGAGTTTCCCCCCTCTTTTCGTGTTTCCCCAAAGGAATCCTGAACACCCTCTTTTTTGACATGGCTGTTCTGCTTGAAGTCCTGGATCACGATGCGAAAGGAGGAGTTCACCGTCTGGACATTTCAATCCAACTTACCCGTCGCTCCTTCTCGGATACTGTCTCTGTCTTTGGAATCTTGGCAGTGGGCGTATCTTTGGAGGCCGCCAATCCTGTCGTTCTTGGCTCACCATCTGTCTTTCACCAACTGCGTCTATTCTTACCGCGATTGGGATGTCCGACATCTGCAAGAGGCAAGGAACCACCGTACCGAGTTTCATTCATCACCGGACCGGGTGCGATCTGGAAAAAAGTTGCTGCTGCACTTCTCACTTTTATGTCTTGGATTTCTGCTCTCTGCTGTTCTGATTGGCTTACACCTCGCTTGTTTTTACCAAGTCTGCGTCTGCGTCTGCCTGCCTTTGCCTTCACCACGTCGGTTGCGTTTCTGCTAGGAGTCTGCATCTCTGCCTTGGAATGGGGTTGCTTTTCTTTCTTCTTCCATTTTGGGGCAATGTGTAATACCTTGCTGGCTGTGTTCGGGAGTCGGGGGATCACGAGGGGAAGCATCATCTGTTTTACCCTAATGAGCTAACAACAAATTGGAGGGAAGGGGGCTACGGAATCACGGGGATCGGTGATACAGAAAAGAAAAATTGGCTTGACTTATGTGGGCATTATCAATCACGGCACAACCCTGGGAAAGGGAGGAAGGATATGGGAGTGGTTGGCGGGGCATGGGAGCGAAGGGATTTGGGTATTATGATGATTCCCGGGGCATCTTCTTTTTGGGTCTCTTCGTTTGGGCCTTTTCTCATTCTACTGCGGCGTTTCTGGTCTTGACAAATTGTCTTTTCGTTCCCTCCCCCCACACCGCGAAAAGGGGGTAGGGGTAAGCATCTCTTATCAAACCATACACACAGAGAACAGCAGCACAGCGGTGTCTGTTTGTTTCTCGCGGGCAGAAAAGAATCATCTCGCCCTGTTCGCATCTGTTTTTCATACCCTCCCCTCTTCATGTATCCTGAGGCCATGGGCCTTGTCGGAACCTTAATATGGCTCTCAGGGGGTTTTCTGGTGGGCTGTCTGGTGTCAACAGAGAAAGGGAAACAAATCACAAGTTCCCTGCTTGGAAGAGAGCAGGAGGATGAAAGCATCAGATAGACTTGCCCGGACCGGGCGTTGCCTTGCATAGAGGGCAGGAATTGAACTAATGACAATCATCTCTCGGACTGTGCCTTTTTGTGGTTTTTTGTTGCTCGCCTAAAATGATACTGGGTATGATGTTACTTCTCCGTTGCCATGTATGCGTTGATCGCATGCGTTTACTTTCTACAGCTTTTCCTCCACCCTCTCGTCAATCTCGCAAAACGCCTTGAACGTTATGAATTCGTCGTCGGCATCACCTTCAGACTGCAGCACCACTTCCGCTGTTGACCCTACAAAGAACACATTGCCCTCGCTGATTTTCTCTTTCTTGGGTCCAACGGCGATGGTCCCCTTGCCTGACGTGCAGATGATGATGCTGGGTCCCTCGAGGGGGTCGAAGGTAGCCTTGGAGCCGTCACCCTTGAGCAGCGAGCGGACAACGCTGAACTCGTCAATGGGTGGGTCGTAGAGGATAACGGCGGAGCCGGAGCTGTAGGCGGTCCGGTTGAGGGTGGCGTAGGGGTACTCGGAGGGCGACATCTTTTGCTCGTCAATGGGCGCGTAGTTGTAGGTCAGCATGTCTACGAGGGTGGGCACGTCTTTGAACTTTGGAGTGAAGCCGGCGCGGACGACGTTGTCGGAGGCGGCCATACACTCGATGATGTCGCCGGAGAGGTAAGCGTGGATGTCGTCGGCGACGAGGAACATGGCCTCCCCTGGCTCCATCTTGACGTAGTTGAGGAAGAAAAGGACAAAGAGACCGATGTCCGCGCCGAACTCGCCATGGCTACGAGTGATGAGTTCCGAGAGGGTCTCGCCGTCACTCGCGCCTGCGCCGCCGCCGGCGAAGCTGCTGCCTTCTGACTTGGCGAGCGACACTAGGCTCTCGGTCTGCTTCTGAATTTCCTCGGTGGTGGCGGAGAGGAGGGAGGCGAAGAGGTGCTGGAGGGCGGTCTTGTTCTTTTGCTTGGTCTCGGCGGACTCGGTTTCCTCCTCGCCCTTGACGGTGTTGATGAACTCGTCGGCCTTGTCCTCCTTCACGAGGGCCTTGAGTGGAGGAACGGTGTTGAGGAAGTGGGAGATCTCGGCGAGCGGGCGGAAGCCACAGAGACCCTCAAAAGGGGTGATGGCGATGGCCATCTCGGGCTTGTGGTTGTCATCGGGGTAGTTCTTGGGGTCGCGGGCGTGTAGTTGCTCGGCGAGTTTCTTGTTGGGGTGGGCCTGGATGGATAGCGCCTTGTTGATGGAGAGGACCTTGAAGAGGAAGGGCAGCTTGGAGCCGTATTTGGAGGACACAGGGGCGGAAAGCAGTTGTTGGTTTTCTTGAACCAGGTCGAGGAGGGTGCGCCCGGATTGGAGGTCTTTTGAGGGGTTTGAGGGGTGAGTGCCCATCCAGAGCTGGACGTGTCAGCATAATTGTCGGGGAAAGGTGAGGAATTCGTTGTCTTACCTCTGCGTATGGCTTGTCGGACTGGACAGTGAAGCCTTCAGCTGGTGTCGTGGCCGCAAAACGCGCGGCTGCTGAGTCCTCTCCCTTCTTGCCCCATTCGTAGGAGTTGACCCCGCATTGGAGCTTGAACAAGGGCACTTGCAAGACCATTATGAAAACAGAGCTACGACAAGCTCGAAACGAACAGAAAGGGGCAAAGCTCAGAGGGCAAAGGAGAAGACGCGACGGCGATGTGGTGGTATTAAGGTTGCGACTCCCTTTGCTCACCCCACCATGGATTTGACGTCAGGGAGAGCCTGGAGGGGACCCCGCAACGATCTGAACAACGCGTGGACATTTGACAGGCCAGGCCCCTCCCTCTGGTACTCCCTTTCCCCAAGGGATGATCAGCATGAGGTGAGCACGGGCCCCGGGGCAGTGATCGGGCCGCGCGGTGCTCAGTGACCTTCTGAGGCGTGATTGGACCATTATGACAGACAGCAGGAGCTGTCGGGCCCACTTCGGCAATTCGCGGCGACAAGCTGTCGCGTCGGGCGACCAATGAAGCTCAAGCTGAGCGCATTGCCCGATACCGCCCAGCAATTCTGCCATCGACATCACCTCCGTCCACCACCTTTGCGCGCGTCTATGCCATGGTCTCCAAACACCTGGCTGGGCCAAAAGCTTAATTCCTCGCCATTTTATAAGGCTCAAAAATGGGCTGACATTTATGTGTGCATTTATTTTTCTTGTATAGCATCTTGTTGCACTGAGATACCCTACCTGCTGCTATCTGTGAAGGAAGGCTCCTGCCTACCCGTGGACCTGCCTGTTTGACGCGACCCGACTTGCGCCGCCGGAGCTGCCCCTCCTTCCTGCCTTACCTGAGCTAAAGCAGCTCCTTCCTTGTAAGTTGCGACGGTTGTCTTGCTCCTGCCAAGCTTTGTAGATGTAGTCCACCTCCATCCGTCCGGCTTCATCTCTCCATGGATACTCATTTGACATTAAGCCACACCCTTTCATCACCTTCTGCACCCATAGATCTACTGTCGAGCATTGTATCCCGAGACTAACGTCAAGATGCCGAGAAAGATTAAAGGAAAGGCACCGCAAAAGCCGCTCTCAGGCGCACGCCAATCGAGCCTGAGCACCAGGAAAACGGAGCCCCCAACCGCCGACGCCGAACCATCCCAAGTCGAGGCGAAAATAACCCAGGCGGAGGCGGAGCCAACACAGGCCAAGGCAAAAACGACCAAGGACAAGACGAAAGTACCTACGGGCGAGGCCTTTCCTCAGAAACCCGGTTAGAAAAAGGGTATCGCGAAGGATAAGCGACCTGGCCCGGCCTCTTCTCTCCAGGCCAAGATGTCGCAAAGAAACCGTAGTGGCCGTGGCTCGAACCGCAACAATGGCAGCGGCCACGGCGAAGAGATTCAACTGTGGAATGACGCCAAGGACAAGTTTCAAGAGATTGTCACCGGTGTCAACCAGGAGAACGACAACCTAGCTGAGCTGATCAAGCTGGATAAGAAGGCGGCCAGTGCGAGCAAGGACGGCGGAAACCCTTCGGGCAACGATCTTAACAAGATGGAGCAGTTCTGTCGGTCCGGAGTTAAGCTCTCGGAAAACAACTCAAACAACATCAAAACCCTGGTCGAGCAGCTTAAGATTCTGAAGGCTGTGCAGCAGGCCAAGGAGCTTGCGGAGGCACCTGCAACGACTACCTCGTCATCTCGGACAGGCAGCTCAACACGGAACAGAGATGCCGCGGCCGCGGCGCTCTACGACTTTGACGGTGCTGGAGACTCGCCTGTACCCAGCCCCATTGGTGGCAGCTCACGCAAGTTTGGTGATCGGGGTAGCAACCGCGACAGTATGCCACCTAAGGCAGATAGTGTCGAGCCACAAGGTTCGACAGGCAGCAATACGGCGGGCTCGTCCTCGGGGGCCCTCGGATCAAATGCCGCGGCGGCTAGAAGCAAAATCTCGTTCTCGAAAGGAGACAAGGTAGCTTTCAAGCGCAAGAAGGACGAGCCTCAACAGGGTGAGGCGCCGTACGACTGGATATTGGGCGAGGTGGTTGGTATCATCGGCGAGGGCAAGAGCAGACGATACAAGTGCTTGGACGTGGAGCCGGAGGACAACGTCAAGCCGAAGGAGTACAAGACGTTTGCGTCGGGCATGATACCGATCCCGCCAGAGAACCAGACGCACAACCTCGCCAAGCTAGAGGCAGGCAAAATGGTCCTTGGCTTGTATCCGCAGACGACAGCATTTTACGCGGCGGATGTCGTCGGTACAGAGGCCGACGGAAAGACGGTCAACCTCAAGTTTCATGGTGAAAACGATTCATCGACTACGCATCAGGTGGAGAGGCGCTACGTGCTTGAGTACCGGCCATGAAAGCCAATTGATATGAAGAGTCGCGGGTGCCAAAGTAGCGGCGGATATTGAACGAAGTTGGGAAACAAGAGTTACAAGACATTATGGATTTAGTTTAGCGAAAGCCGTATGCAGGCGCTGGGTCTTGTTGAGAGGGGCGCATTGGGATTACCGAGATCAAACGAGATCAAATGGACCGGGGCGCTGTCTATGCAACTGATGGCTCACTAAACGAACAACCACTGGAGAGTCATGACGTAGCGGGTCCGAACGGAGTTTAAAGACCAATTCTCAAGACAGGGTTGGCATAAAATAGGTAGCTGACAATGTCTATCCACAAGATATGATAAAGCGAGTCTACAGAACTCTCAGAGAGCCCTCAGTTCCGCCGCAGCATTAGCACAATCTAGGTGGTCTGCTATTATGGCCTCAGATAGTCCGACACCTCACCTCCTTGAGCGTAAGCGTTTGCAACATTGACGCGGTGCGCCTTTTCTCCTTGAAGAAAGAACTCTCGAATCTCCTCGGGGCTCATTTCCGGCCTGAGATTCTTCAAATTGGCCTGGATACGTCTCATTCCCTCTCTCGCCCTTGCGCGGATGGCGTCAACATCAATCCCCACCAAGGCACCATCTCGTTTCAGAATCCGTCCATCTACCATGACAAGATCAACATCTGCCGGGCTCGAGTGCAGAACAGCCGTACCCAACGGGAAAGCCGAGCCACTGAGTGCTCGTTTGCTCGTGATGACGACGATGTCGGCCCGTTTCCCGGGGGTGAGAGTGCCAATCTGGTCGCCGAGACCAACGGCCTCGGCGCCGTTCCTCGTTCCCCATATCAGAGCGTCCCGGACGCCGAAGTCCATCTTCATGGAAACGCGATGTTCGAGGTGAGCTGCATGATGGTCCAGACTGCGCTGTAGCTGCAGCTGAAGCCGCATCTGCGAGAGCAGATCTGGCGCCGCGGCGCTTGACGTGTCGATGCTGAGAGACGGCTTCAGACCGTGAGCCAAGGCCATCCTCAGCGGAGGAAACCCCATTCCCATCTGGATGTCCGTTTCAGTGGCAAGGGCGATTTTACCTCCCGTCTTCGCGACGAGGCTCATTTCGTGGTCTGTCAGGTTCGTGCAGTGAATGTACACATGCCCAGGCAGCATGAATCCCATATCCGCACGGACTTCCAAGTCACTCGTGAGGTTCGAGGCAGGAACGGCGCTGGAGTGGGAGCAGCAGAGAAGCCCCAGCTCCTGGGCAAGCTTTAGTTCATCGCCCATCCAAGAGAACGGAGTCGTGCCCGACTGGCTAAGCTGCAGCGCTACGCGGACAAGCCCGTCGTTCGCGCCTCTCTGCGCCATCTCCTTGACGTGGGTCAAACGAGCGCTCCAACCGCTCCGTCCCGCCGGAGTCTTGCCATACTGATCTCCGCTCATGCCGTAGCAGAAGAACGCGCGGATCCCAGAGTCCTCCAGCCCGCGCAGCTCCGCCTCCGCGTGCTCGGCCGAGTGGAACGACTCGCAGGTGTCCATGATGGTCGTGACCCCGCTCTCGATTGCCTCGAGGCAGCCGACCAGGGCGGACGTGTACATCTCGTCGACCCCGGTGGCCGGCAGCCAGCGGGTGTAGGTGTTGGACAGGAAGTGCCAGAGATGCTGGTCCACGCCGATTCCGCGCGTCAGGCTCATGGACACGTGGCGGTGGGTGTCGATCATGCCGGGGACGACGACGCCCTCGGAGGCGTCGATGATCTCGGCATCTGGCGGCGCGGAGATGTCTTGAGTCCTGCCGACGGCTGTGATGATGCCGTCTTCGACCAGGACAGCGCCGTTGTCGAAGTCGCCGAGGGAGTCGTCTAGCGTGACCACGTAGCCGCCGGTGATGAGGAACTTTCCAGACATGATGAAGGGAAAGGAGTTTGTCGATGTTGAGTTACGCACAGTTGAGATAAGGGAGAATCGTTTAGGCGAGAGAGGATGAGATGTTTTGCCAGATTTGGTGCATTAGACCATTCAACCCTCCTTATATGTCATTGCCTTCGTAGGCAAGAGTAAACACGATTATACTGCATCCTCAGTGGAATCGCTTCTTTGGAACAGGTTCTGCTTGAACTCGCTCTTCGCGCTTCCGTCAACGCGAACGGAAAGTCGGCCATTACCAGTGGCATTTTTCCCCGAAAACACCGAGGCCGTTGATTCATATTCAAATGAATCATTCTCGACCAGAATTGCGGGGTCTTCATGCATGGTTTACAACTTGCCAAGTCATGTTGTCGAGGATCAATCACGATAGTTTCACTCGAGTGACCGGCGCTGTAAGTCATACGGTGTTAACGCGCAAATAGACCAAACCATCGCAAAAGATGTTCTAGGTGCCTGTGAAGATGCAAGTTTATGGGGATTGATGCAATATAAAAGAACAAAAGCTCCGATAGCTTTAGATTTTGCATGGGAATTCACTGGCTTGGTTCGTTTGATTGGCATTTACCGAGGTCTAACAGGCGATACTGGCCAATTTGTCACTCGAGTGACCTTCGATTGCTTAGTGGAGGCCATTGCTGCGGGCCTGCGGGTGAAAATGGCCCATGATTGTGTCAAACTACTGGGATCCCTCTACAGGCGCAGCGCTCGTCTGTGGTTAAAGGATTGAATGGTCTCTCTCTGAGATGTAGATACGGGCAGACTCTAGGCGTGGTGGATGGCTGTCAACCCGTCAATTCGTATTTGAAGCAGTAAATGTACCGTAATTCGATTGATCCCTGTCCTTCAATATCACTCACTGTCATGACGATCGTCTCAAAGAGAAGAGTTGAGTCTCAATTGCAGGTGTTAGCAACAGAACAACAAAAGCCAACCAGTCTAGGATATGAATACACAGCTTCTCGAAGCTCTAGTTCTACAATTGCCACATGGGTAAAGGCACCCCCGACTGAACTTTAGTTTCAGCCTCTGAAACATTTATATAGCATTTGGCCGGTTTGGTCATGAGACTGTCCATCGCATCAAACGTTTGCAGACTCTCGGGAACTTGGCAGGGCTCCAGGTTCCATATCGTTAGGACCACAAGGATTCTAAACTCGATGTACGCCAACCGCCGCCCAAAGCATCCCCGCACGCCGTTGCTAAAGCTCATGAAAGGTCCAGCCTGGGGGTCAAATTCGTCCCCATTCGGTCCCGGCTTAAGCCATCGCTCAGGTATGAACGATTCCGGGCTGACCTCCCACGAGCCACGAACATTCGGCCGAGATCTGGAAGTCTCGCTTCGCAATGATTCATCAACTTCTATGGGTGCTTGGGTGATGCCTGGGCCACACAACGGCATGAAAACCTCGGTTCCTTTGGGTACCCGATGACCCAAAATCTTGGTTTCTACTTGTGCCTGTCGCACAACACCCATTATCGGTCCAGACAATCGCAAAGACTCTTCCGTAACTGCTTCCAGGTAGGGCACGTCGACTTTTGTAATTTCGGAAACCGAAGGCTGTCTTGATTGGGCCACAGACTCGGCAAATGCCAATTGCAAAGCTCGCCGAAGCTTCTGCTGGACATCTTGGTGAACCGTAAGGTGCTTGATTGCCCATTGGAAAGAGGTTGAGGTTGTCTCGTGGCCTGCACCAATGTAGCCGTACAGCTCGTCGCGGAGTTGAGAAGAGTCGAAAGTGGGTAATCGGCCGGCCTTCTTGGCAGCGTTCATTTCGCGCTGTATCATGTAGTCCAGAGCAGACCGGACCGGCTGGCCTCTTTCAAGCCGTTGAACAGCCAGAGAGACCTGATTCTCCAACATCCGGTGTCTGATGGCGTATGCCTCTTTCATGTGGCGTCGGCGGTTGTTGATTACATGGTACAGCCAGGGAGAGGGTGCTGTCAAAGACGCCCCGACAGCCTCCTGGTGAGCATGGTGCGAAACGAGGTCTTCGTCAGGGGGTTGCTCGGGAAATTCGACTTCTCCGCTTGTATTTGGCTTTGCAGCAGCCGTTTCGTGGATGATCTTGATGTAAGCTTCGGTTGTGTTCTCGGAGTCTCCCTCGCCAAGGGCAACTTCTTTGATGATATCGAAAGTGGCCATGTTGATGTCTTTGTCAGCTTGAAAGGGCTGACCACTGGCTTTTTTTGCTTTCAACTTCCACAGCTCGACAAGCCTCAAAGTGTTGGAGTATATTGCTGGAGCGGATACCTTAAGGATTTCTAGTTAGTCTCCGCTTGATAAATATCAATCATGTCTGTCAGGCCTTACTTACGGTGTTCAGAAAATTCGGCGTCATGAGATCCTTAACCAACTCCCGATTGGACTTGAACTGAGGATCCCGAGTTCGCATCCCAATGTGATGGTTTCCGAGAACCCCACGAAACGCAGCGATGTCTCGCTCGCCATGATCGAATTCCTTGTTTCTTCGGAGAAGTATATCTTGAGCCTCGCGGAAGTCTGAAAGTAGAAGCATCGGCTGTGATAGCGGAGCTACGAAAGCTTGGACGAGAGAACTTTTATGCTTTATGTTCTGTTGAAGAAACCAGGCGCGCGGTCTCTTGCCCTGCTCCTGTAACCTTTGCAACTCTGCCGCATCGCCAAGTATGGATTTCGCTGCGTCTTTGTTGAATGGTATGCCTGGAAGAGGTTTCGGTAGAGCCCATCGATAAATGAGAAACAATAGAGAGACAACGCCTACGACGGCCGCAGTCAAGGCGCCCGTGGTCTCTGCGAGAGTGTAGGCCATGGTACGAAAGAGATGTAACATGGTAAGAACTGTGATGTGATCATTGTTTATTTGCAATTGCAGTTGCGATCCTTGAATATTTGACTTTGACACCCGGCCTGTGAGTCGGCGGGAATTTTCTCGCTCGGCCCCCTTGGGGAGTCACTGACTTCCGGTGAAGGCCGGCGAAGGCCGGCAAAGCCGATGTCCGTCTCCCTAGCTTTTCTTTCCAAGCCAACAGACTTTTGAACATTGACCATCATCCCGCCCGTACAGTGCGTGGGTTTTGTCCGAGCCGCCGTAGTGAGCTATGCAAATGCCGGGGCATCTAAGTGGGGTGTTAGAGAACAAGGATTCAGATGTGCACAGGAGACAACCCGAGAATTCTTCTTCGCTTGACAGAATGCGATGGCCGAGACTGATGGGAAACTAGGATCTGACGGGCGATCTCGATGTCCGTTCCTTACATCCCTGCCAGAAAGAATATGATGATAGTTAATTAGACTTAGAACCAAACTTGCTAAAGGGTCAACTTATTGCAGGTTTGTTCTCGTCAGTTACACAGGCAGCTACAGTTCCCCTGTACATACCTAGGCGAGACTGATGTGAGTGTCTGACTGACTCAAATCAGGCGACATAGCTAAGAGATGCCTACTACTTGCCAACGCATGTCTCCATGGTTGATGTAACCTGGGGCGTATCCGATCTCAAAACAGAGTAAACACTACATTTCGTCCTGCCAATAACATCAGAGACGAAAGAAAGCATGACGCAGTTCTGCACGTGGGTTTGTGTGCCAAGACACTTTGCTGTACATGTAGCCTTCGACGAACCGCTGTAGGTGGGTGTGGCACACTACTTGGCCAAGAGTCAGTTACAAGCCCGCCAAAGAACGAGGGTGCCTACACGTACACTACACTAACTGCGAAACTTAGGCATGTTTTCACACAGTCGGTATCATTCTTGCCCTCCCAAGGAGGCTTTCCCACAGGTCATCAGAAGCACGTATTGCGAGAGGGGATGTGTCTAGCCTAAATATACGTACAATCTATCAAAATTCTCCATCGCTCAGGCTCGCCATGACTGTCTCGCGCCAGTAGGAGGTGGCGGCCAGTCCCGCCCCTGGTCCCAAGCAAACAGAACCAGTGGCCGACACCAACGCAGCAAGCACTGCCTTCTTCGTTGTGATGAACCCCTCGGATCTCATCGTCCAGATGTTGTACCAAGAAAGGGCTACAGAGGCTAAGCCGAAGAGATCAAAATGTCTGGCCAAAGGTCCCGCAGAATTTTCCACAGAACGCGCAGCGTCCAATCTTGAATAAGCCATGCCAGCAACGCGGACCGCACCGCATAATCCTGCGGCACAAGCGTACGTAAACTTCAGCGCAGGTACATCCTGCTGCCGGTACATGGCTACGAAAT